GTTATTTTACAAATTAGGGTACCCTCAGATCCACATGTGAAGGCAACAAATGATCAGCTGATCCCTGTCAATGGATTCTTCAGTTTGAAGGGTTCATGTAAAATTTTAGGTATCCAATCAGCTGGTTTTTAGTGTGGAACCACTTTTTCTTGAGCGGGGATCTTTGAAGTTTTCTAATTTTCCACATGTCCCTGAAAACTGTAATAATATTGTATCTGTAGTATTTATTCCATGTGGCAAATGTATAAATAAAATAAATAATAACATCCCCTTTAAACTACTCCCTTCAGGCTTTGCACCACTTGGTTGCAAAGTTTATGCTGGCGGCAATGAAAGAAATAATGTGCATTTAACTAATTATCTTTCTTTATCCTTCCAAAGGTATCCTAACCATAAAACCTTAAAAGAACAGCAAGCTCAATGTCCTTTGAGTGTCAGCAGTGAGGCAAGTGTTTTAACCATACAGGACACTTTAAGGGCTCATGAAAGAGTCCACACTGGGGAAATGTCTTATGAATGTAAACAGTGTGGCAAGTGCTTTAACAAAGCATTAGGCCTAAGGAAACATAAAAGAGACCACACTGGTGAAAAGCCATATAAATGTGAACATTGTGGGAAGTGCTTTAGACGAGCAGGACTCCTAAGGACTCATGAAAGAGTTCACACTGGGGAAAAGCCTTTTGAATGTAAACATTGTGGGAAGTGTTTTAGCCAAGCAGGACCCCTAAGGAAACATAAAAGAGTCCACACTGGTGAAAAGCCTTATGAATGTAAACATTGTGGGAGGTGCTTCAGCCAAGCAGGACACCTTAGACAACATGAAACAGTTCACACTGAGGAAAAGCCTTATGAATGTAAACATTGTGGGAAGTGCTTTAGACTAGCACAATTGCTAAGGACTCATGAAAGAGTTCACACTGGGGAAAAGCCTTATGAATGTAAACTGTGCGGCAAGTGTTTTAGCCGAGCAGGATACCTATGGACTCATAAAAGAGTTCACACTGGTGAAAAGCCTTTTGAATGTAAACATTGTGGGAAGTGCTTTGGACTAGCACATGTCCTAACGACTCATGAAAGAGTTCACACTGGGGAAAAGCCTTATGAATGTAAACATTGTGGGAAGTGTTTTAGCCAAGCAGGACCCCTAAGGACTCATGAAAGAGTTCACACTGGGGAAAAGCCTTATGAATGTAAACTGTGTGGTATGTGTTTTAGACAAGCAGGACCCCTATGCAGACATAAAAGAGTTCACACTGGTGAAAAGCCTTTTGAATGTAAACATTGTGGGGAGTGCTTTAGTGAAACAGGAGACCTTAGAAAACATGAAAGACTTCACACTGGGGAAAAGCCTTTTGAATGTAAACATTGTGGGAAGTGCTTTAGACTAGCAGGACACCTAAGGACTCATGAGAGACTTCACACTGGGGAAAAGCCTTACGAATGTAAACGGTGTGGCAAGTTTTTTAACCAAGCAGGAAACCTAAGGAGTCATGAAAGAGTCCACACTGGGGAAAAGCCTTTTGAATGTAAACATTGTGGGAAGTGCTTTAGACTAGCAGGACACCTAAGGACTCATGAGAGACTTCACACTGGGGAAAAGCCTTACGAATGTAAACGTTGTGGCAAGTTTTTTAACCGAGCAGAAAACCTAAGGAGTCATGAAAGAGTCCACACTGGGGAAAAGCCTTTTGAATGTAAACATTGTGGGAAGTGCTTTAGACTAGCAGGACACCTAAGGACTCATGAGAGACTTCACACTGGGGAAAAGCCTTACGAATGTAAACGGTGTGGTAAGTTTTTTAACCAAGCAGGAAACCTAAGGAGTCATCAAAGAGTTCACACTGGGGAAAAGCATTACGAATGTAAACAGAGTGGAAAGCGTTGTGGCTTAGCAGGAAACCTGAGAAAGCATGAAAGAATCCACACCCAGGAAAAGTCACGTACATTTTCCCAGAAAAACAAATGTCTGTCAAAACGCTCGAAATCATGTAAAATAAATAGAGCAGAGAAAAGACAGAGAGAAACTGGAAACACACGATCGGTCATCATTGAGAAGCACAGCTGTTGGATTTGTCAAGAGGAGATGAGCAGTGGGGCTCTTCTTCTCCAACATTATGAAAATCATATGACCTATGTTTGTGACGATTATTCTTGAAGTTAAAAAACGTTTGGTCCCTTTAAGTTTTTCCTCTTTGTTCGATTTTTGGTGCTTTGACAACATTTTTACGTTTTCAACTCCAAAAGTTTGGTGTTTTGTTTAAAGCATGTTGCTTTCATACCATGTCATACCTGCGGCTCATCACAGGTAGCCAAGCTCGAAATATGAGCATCAGCGATCATCGGCATTGTTGCGTAGCATTCAAAATATAAGGATTTGTATGGGAAAAAAACCTATCGTTTCTGTAACCTACGAAAATGAAAGGATTTCAATAAAAAACAGCTTACCTTACTTAAAATGTGTGTTACGTCTCTCCTTTGTGGTCCACGGGCCGATTTATGGCCGTTGTATGGGTTTTATGTAAACGGTTTTCTCTCCATTTAAAGGTATTTTCGTTGGTTAGAGAAACGATAGGTTTTTTTCCCATACAAATCCTTCTATTTTGAATGTTACGCAACAATGCCGATGCTCGCAGATGCTCATATTTCGAGCTTGGGCTACCTGTGGGCTCATTCGATTTATATGATTATCAAGTCGGAATAAACGATGAAAGAACAGCTTCCGTGTTAATTCTTTGATAAAAGAAAAACTCGAGTCAGTGAAGTTTAGTGCCTCTTAGTTTTAAGCCTTACATTGTACGTGACCACTTGTAGAAGACTATGACTTCTCATGATACGTTAAACAGCTTTGTTACTGTCATCCATATTCTACAGTCATGTATTTGTGGTGTTCTCATAGCCGCGGTTTCTGGAACTCTCCAGGTATTTTAATAACTGTTATCCCTAATAAAGAATACCAATCACTTATTAATGCCTTTGGAGAATATTTATTGGTGTTAAAAGGCCCTGTGTATTAAGTCGGACAGTTTGAAGTTGCTTGATACTAAGACAAATTTATGGTCAACGTAATAATTCCAAGGAAATAAAACCAAGTGTGGCTCTCCCCATAAAATGTTTCGTTTCCCATCGCCCTCCCGCCCTCTCCTGAAGGTGGGTCGGTCGGTCGGGCAAAAAAAAAAAGAAGAATGAACACATGATTGCATATTAAATCTCACGTTTAGTCTGCAAGTGCTACAAAACCGAAGTATAGATGAAAATTTAAGACAATTGGTGTTAATAAGACAAGATCGTGTGCTTGTAAATTAAAGTACTTGCTTCTTTACAAGTGATTCTGGAATTTTTCTTTTTTTTCTTTACTTTTCCAAAAAAATGGGTCGGTCGGTCGGTGGATGGGAAACGAAACATTTTATGGGAATGGCCTAATTGGTAGTTCAAATTCGATTTTTTATTCTTTGAGCCCTGAGAGTGATCAGTGTCAAATTTCTCCTTGCATTTTTTTTTGCTTTAAAAAACAGAGTGATCATGAGAATTGAGGACATGATCACCTAAGAGGAATCTAATTGATCCTTCAACAAATTCTCCCCACTACTTGTATTGAAAACTTATAGGGACAAGAAATGAGAATTTGATTTTTGATGTTAGGGTTAAAATCTTTGGCCTCTTGGCGAGTGTTGTTAGTCCTTGTCTGGTTACCACTCTGGCTGAGATCAAACCCACTTCACACCAATTTATCTGTTTTACACAATGAAGACTAACTTTTTCCAGCCTAATCGAAACTGTTTTTCTAATTATTTAGACATTCGCAGCAACGGAGATTTTTTATTGCACCATATAGCGTACAGCGCATGCCGTGCAAGGAACGCTATCGTATTTGTATAGTTTAAGCCTTTTCTTGTGGATAGGCGAAGACGACTGAAATACGTTACGTTTTTGGGTTGCGATCCTTTTGACCAATCTAAATCCGGATTTTGCGATCCGAAATTTGATTTTTCGTTGCATTAAGGACTAGACCAATCTAAGATTGCAATCTGAACGATCCACCTCCGCACTTTGTTCCATTTAACGAAACTGCTTTTCGATCGCAAGAACGTGCTCCCGTTCATCAATAAAGACGTTTATTCAGGCAAAAGTTATATATACTCTTCCTTTGTTCTATGCCGCTATAGGATTGTGGTATGTTAAACTTAAGTTCCACTGTGACTCGAAATCCGTAAGAAAGCTAAAACGCTTGGATATTCTCACCGTAAAACTTTAGTGTGCAATGTGTGTGTGTTTAAAAAAGACCCAACAAAAATCCCTAGGG